TTTTCACCCCCCCCCCCCCCCCACTGAGTATCTAGCTGCAACTGGGCATGTACCCTGACCATGAATCAAACCAATGGTCTCTTGGTGCATGGGTTAATGCTCAATTACTGAGCCACACTGGCTTGGCTGCTGGAAATTTTTTGATTACTGCTTCAATTTCATTAGTTGTTATAGGCCTGTTCATGTTTTCTGATTCTTCCTGATTCAGTTTTAGAAGGTTGCATTTTTCTAGGAATTTGTCCATTTAATCCGGGTTGTCAGGCTTGTTGGCATATAGTTGGCATATAGTATTTTCTTACAATCCTTTGTATTTCTGTGGTGTCAATTGTTATTTCACCTCTTTCATTTTTAATTTTATTTATTTGGGTCCTCTCTCTTTGTTTCTTTAAATTTTTTTTTTTTTTTTTTCAGAGAGGAAGGGAGAGGGAGAGAGAATCATTGACCAGCTGCCTCCTGCATGCCCCACTGGGGATTGAACCTGCAACCCAGGCATGTGCCCTTTCAGTAATCTCCTGGTTCATAGGTTGCTGCTCAACTACTGAGCCATGCTGGCTGGACTCTGTTTCTTGATGAATATGGCTAAAGGTTCATCAAACTTGTTTATCTTTTCAAAAAACCAGCTCTTGGTTTCATTGATCTTTTTTTTTTTTTTTTTTTTTTTTTTGTCTCTAAGTCATTTATTTCTGCTCTGATCTTTATAATTTCCTTCCTTTTACTTACTCTTGGCTTTTCTTTGTTCTTTTTCTAGTTATTTTTGTTGTAGGGCTAGATTATTCACTTGAGATTTTTCTTGTTTCTTTAAGTAGGCCTATAATGCTACGAATTTCCCTCTCAGGACTGCTTTTGCTGTGTCCCATAGATTTTTGGGTTTTTGTGTGTTAATTTTCATTTGTTTCCAGCTAATTTCTGATTTCTTCCTTGATCTCGTTATTTGTTTAATAATATACTAGCCTCCATGTGTTTGAATATATTTGAGGTTTTTAAATTGTAGTTGATTTGTAGTTTCATGCCATTGTGATTCTAGAAGATGCTTGATATGATTTCAATCTTCTTGAATTCGTTAAGACTAATTTTGTATCTTAACATGTGGTCTCTCTTTGAGAATGTTCTATGTGTGCTTGATAAGAATGTATATTCTGCTTTGGTATAAAATGTTCAATAAATATCAATTAAATTCCTCAGATCTAGTGTGTCGTTTAAGGTTGCTATTTCCTTGTTGATTTTTTTGTGTGAAAGATTTATCCAGTGATGTCAGTTGGGTGTTAAATTCTACTACTTTGGCTGTGTTGCTGTAGATCAAGCATGTCAAACTCAAAGGCTAACATAACACGGGCCAAATAAACAAGGTTTAAGTTTATGTGGGTCGCAAAAAAACAAAAGCTTCAACTTTCATAGAAACGTAGGTTTATTTCAATAGAGACATGCTGAATACAAAAGACTGAAATGAATGAGTAATTGTTAACACAAAATAATAGAACATTTTAAGAAAAATTAATATTTTTTCTTGAACATTAACTTACCAGACGCTGGATAACTGCACAAATTAATTAGCATAACACAAATAAACCTATTTTTCTTGTTCTCCAAAAGCGAAATATTTCCTTTTGCGCACACCAAACAAGTCCAAGACTAATGACGTGGCAATCGGCTGCTAAAATATTCGCTGCTAGTATTAGTGGAGAGAAAAGGTGCACCTGCACGTAAGGTGCATAAGGGAAATGAATGCAACATGATTATAGTAATCAGTCATTAGCAAATGTTGTAGCTTGTTATTAATAATTATGTATAACAGGATATTTTAAAAATTAAGTTACGAACTTTTTATTGAAACGTTTTTTACATACTGTTATATTGACTGGGCTGCAAAAATATTCATTGTGGGCCACATGCGGCCCACGGGCTGAGAGTTTGATATGCTTGCTGTAGATCTCTCCCTTAAAGTCCACCAAAAGTACTTTTTAATGTGTATTTAGGTGCTCCAATAATCAGTGCATATATGTTTACAAGGGTTATATCCTCTTGTTGGGTTGATTAGGATTGTGTCGTGTCTTTGTTTGTGTCTTGCATGGTCTTTGTTTTGAAGTCTATTTTTCAGATACAAGAATTGCTACCCCACTTTTTTTTTGTTTTTTGTTCCCATTTGCATGGAATAGTTTTTTTCATCTCTTCACTTTCAGCCTGTGTGAATCCTTTGTTCCTAGGTGGGTCTGTGTGGGTCATGTTTTCTTACCAATCATCTACCCTGTGTCTTGATTCCAAGGTTTGGATATAATTTGAATAGGTTCTACTTATAATTACTTCTGGTTCTTGCACTTGCATCATCAAAATTCAATACTGACTCCAGAGCTCAAGTACATAATAAATAGATTCTGGTTTATCATTACGTCGGTCTATGCATTGCCAAATTCAATGCTTTTATAACCTTCAGGAGCTCATAATGTTGTTTAGAGGTAGCTGTCTTCTTAGCATCCAGTATAGCAAAACATTTTTTATTTTTAGGTTATAAAC